TAATAATAATAATAATAATAAAACATTTACTTCAACCTAAACAGGATCAATCGAATAAAAACGTCATATTGATGCTTCTAGAATGTTCTGCATTCAAGATTTACCCAACTGCAATGATGTAGTATTTGCATGCTGCATTGTGATTTGTCTTCTTTGCATACTGAATTGTGACTGATCTTGCAGTTCCTGCATATATTTAACCGTAAAGCTATGTGCAAAACACTGCACTATGGCTGAATTCAAAATAGCATACTGAGTACTATGCTAGCCTAGTGTGCTATTCCTAATTCATCCTATGTGAAACTTCCTGTGTGCAGCTGGCTAAAAAAACGAGACACATACTCAGTGTCATGACAACGGCAAAGCCATTTCATTTATTCAAAACTGAAGCCTTATATATAAAACGAACACTATTCTTTTGTTGCTGTGCAAGCAGTGGCATTTCCCTCAGGAAATGCAAATCAAATTGGTTCTGTTCTTCTATATACATGCTAAAAATATCATCAGAATACCGTTATTTAGACCTCTACCACTCTTTTGTTGGTTTCATTTGCAGTATTGATTAGTGTTTTAAAAGATACAGTATGCTGTGTGTTTGCACCCATTTATTAATCCATCTATCCACCCATTTTTTAACATGTTCACTCTGTTTCACTGGTTTTCAACATGGAATGCAATTCATGGAATGCAATGCTGATTCAGTTTGCATTATGCTACTTTTATGTTTTGATTGACAGCAGAGCCAGCCAAACCAGCAACAAAGAGACGGAGGAGGAGGAACTCAGCTGGTAGCGCGTCCAATAACAGCACAGGAAACAGCAAGAAGCGCAGCCCAGCCAATAACTTCAGCCTACCATCACAGGTACATCACATCGACATATACGTTTACCCTAAAGCTGTGTTCGGAATGGAGATATACCATACTACCGTACTACTCTTAGTATTGCTGAAGTATATAGTATGTATACTGTGGGCAGTATGCTAATTTTCTGTATGCACAAATTAAAATGTGCAACAGTGCTTGCTGTTGTCGAATACTATATCCCACAATGCAATGTGTTCGAATTATTTTAACCTTTATTAAACCTCTTCAAGTAAGAAACAGGTATTATCATTGTTAAACACACCTCCAATAAATTAAAGCAGCATACACTGAAAGAAAAAAATATAATTAAATAAATAAATAACAGACAAACACAAATAACAACAAAATAATTACTTACAAAAAGTTAACTGAGACTTTTTATCTCACAATTACAACTTTGTTTGTTTCAATTCTGACTTTTTTTTTTTTTTTCAGAATTTCAATCATTTTTAAATGCCACAAAAATTGGACCAACCTCCATTTCCAGTGTTATGTATAAAGTAATATTAGTTGTAATCTTGAACTCTTTTGACAGGTTTAATTGGAGTTGATAACTGGACAGCATTCACTGAATAAAAAATGAAGAAATTACATGACAATTGTAGACTGTAAAAAAATGCAAACTGTAAAATTGAATACATACCGCACAGTAATCAGTACATAGTATTCCATTCCGAACATACTGTAGACGCAGTCACCTACACACTTGCAGGGAAGCAGTGGTCCACACTGAAAAGATCACATAGGAGAGATATACTGAAATTGATTTATGGAGAATGTCTGGATGTCTGTACATATATGTGCATGTGTGTGAGTGTGTGTAAAGAAATAACAAAGCAGTATAGAGAGGGAAAGACAGAGAGAGCAGCTTAGTAAATTAACCCATCTTATTTTTTTCATATTGTAATATTTCAATGCAGTGTATTATAAAATCAATACCTGAATTACATTGTTTTATTGTATATAGTAAGTAACAATCAGTTTCCAGTGTGATTGTAATTTGTAATGTTAGAGGAATTTTTTAAATATGTAGTCATTTGTCTACTCTGATTAATTTGTTTGTAATTGAGACTAATTAGCCGTAATTGATTTGATGATAATTAGTATTGTCCGTCTCTGGTCCCAAGCCTAAACGTGTCGCCGGGGAAACGAGGGGTGGCGGGTGGCTGGAGGCGGAGCTTAGGTAGGTGAGTGACACATGCAGACAGTTATCATGCAGCATGTGCTGTCTTAACGAGCTACTTAGCAATGCAGATTTGCTTAATTAGCACATATGTTGTTATTTAGCTGTTCTTTATCTGAAAAAAAAATCTAATTAAAGTCTAAAGAGCTAGTGTCTGGAGACGAGTTTGTGTGCATGTGTGTGTATGACTGCGTATTTAACAAAGCTTGTGGGTACGCCACATTAAACTATTTATGTAAAAATATTCCTTATTATCAGAGCTGGGTAGATTACTTACAAATTTACAAAAATCCGTTACTGATTCCAAATGATATGACAAAAATTGTAGTTAGTAACGTAATTCATTACATTAGACATTTCAGGTGATATAATCAGAATATTTTTTGATTGCTTTTAGATTACTTTTGATGTAACTTGTTTTTCACATGGATTTAAATAGGATAATCTTGTACCATATTGATATAAAAATACAAAAGTGTACATACAAAATACAAAAGAAAATATAATCCGTTCGTGGCAATTAACAACATAAAGTGCATTAAACATTACATTACATAAGGTTTCCCAAACTGGGGTTCATAAAGGTAATGCAGGGGGTTCGTGAGTTTAATGAAAAGCTAATCATTAATTAAATCATAAAAATTTTGAATTAAAATAATTCATTTTAAAATAACAGAAATCAAAATAAAACACTTCCAAAAAATGAATTGTTTTATTTGTTTACCTGTATGTCATGTGAGCAATAACCAATGTCAGAGAACCGTGAACATACAAATGTGATACTTCATTATTGAATTTTTTTTTTTTTTTTAAATCAGGGGTACTTCAATTAAATATATTAGGTGAAAGAAGTTCAGATGACAACAAAAATTAGGGAATGCCTGCATTACATGTAAATTAGAAATAATGTGAATTTGTGCATTTTAATGTGTTTGAAAGACAAAAGCCTTCCAAAGACAAAGCAATACATTATTAAATAACCCTCTGAGTGATAATGCAAATAAAAATTAACATGTTCATTAGTAGTCGATTTAATGTTGAAACACCTGAAATTATTTTTGTAAATCCAGTGGTCAAATGCTGTGTAGCCACCCGACTACTGAGTAGTCTTTGTGTGAATGTCCACAAAACTGGAAGACTGTATATATATAAGCGGTATAGGCTACTTTAGAAAGGAACATTTAAAAGATGAAAAAGAGGAATTAGGGAGAATCAGTAAATTATGAATAATGTGTGAATAATCATGTAATCAGTAAAAAAGTAACTAGTCTGATCACCAATTACAAGTATACTTAATTTTTGGAATCTGATTACGTAATCCAGATTACATGTAATCAATATCTACCCAGCTCTGCTTATTATGCACATCTTTTTTTATTTAATTTTGCACATTCTCTACTGTATGCTTGCATTAACTATATTACAAGTTCAGGTTTTGGAAAATAACAGCCATAAATTATTCTGCTTCTGTCGTTCTTCTCTCTCTTTCTACTCCCCCGCCATTCTCTCTCTCACTCGACCCCCCGCGTCTCTGTTTACGTCAACACTCTCTCTCTCTCTCTCTCTCTCTCTCTCTCTCGCTGGCTGTAGGATGTGATGGTGGTAGGGGAGCCCTCTCTAATGGGAGGGGAGTTGGGTGACGTGGACGAGCGTTTGATCACACGCCTCAAGAACGAACAGTACGACCCCATCAACGGTCTCCATGATGACGGTCTCCATGACTACACCAACTCACCGACACTTGGAAACGGCAGCTCCTGAAATGGCCAGCACCCTAGCAACCAAGACAGTAAGCCTGATACCATGGCAACGCAGCAGTTGGAGTAATGTGATCTGACATTGGGTAGCTATGGCAACGGTGCTGTCAAGGGATGGGGGTATTTTCAACTGTAGAGGAGAAATTGCAGGAGAGAAGGTGTGTGTGCGCGCGTGTGTGTGTGCATGCTAGCGTTTATGTTGGTGTGACACGGTATTCCATACTTGAGACATACAGCTTCAACCATTTAGTTTAAGTATTCAGAAAAAAATTAAAGATACTGCAAGCCTTGTAAATATACAGATCTATCAATTCATTTCATATCAGAATTTTTCAGCCCTTTTTTAAAGCTCAGTGGATGTCTCGGCTTCATTCTGTACCGTACTGTTTGGTTTCGCTACAACAACCGGATGAAAAAAGTCCCATTGTGAACGCTATAGCGTTTTGAGCATGAATGCAGATATCTTTATTGCTCTAAATTTTAATGCATATTGTAAAACACATGCAGATTTGTGCTGTTAATTGTGTATTTTATGTATGGTTTTCAATAATTTGCATTAATAAAATGTGTTTGGTTATGATACCAGACTCGGTGTGTTTGGTTATTGATATCAATTGTAATAAAAAAGCATAATCGAGAACACAGAGTGATTTTCATTGTTATAATCTAAATAAATAAATACATTGCAAAGCTATAGGCCTATGTTACTTTAACTCCATGATGTAAATGCGAAAATAATCTCTGAATCTTTTCCCCCCTCTAGTGGTCAAAGAAACGTGGTACAAATTCACTGGATGATAGTTCATCTAAAAATGAAAATTCTGTCATTTATTCATCCCTATGCTGTTCCAAACGTATGACGTTCTTCTGTAACATAAAAATATATTTTGAGAAATGTAAGCAAACAGTATTGGTGACCACTGACCACTGACTTCCAAAAACAAACAAACAAAAATACTGGGGCATTTCTCAAAAGAAAGTCACATAGATTCAGAAAGAGGTGAGGGTCAGAGGGTGAATAAATAATGACATAATTTTCATTTTTGGGTGAACTTCCCTTTTAACATTTGTGAATTTCTATTATATTATGTATTCTTATTTTGACGATGAGAAGTTGCTTTTCTGTTCTGGCTCTTTCGATCAGCTGTGATCGATCTGTTCTTTTTGTTGTTGTGTGAGAATATCCATATTTTAATGTTTCTATATTTCTTAATGTTTCTATCACTTAAGAACTGTCAAAACAGATATAAGAAGAATAAAATCATTAAACATATTTTAGAGGGGTTGCTAGCATGTGTGTGATATTTACCAGCTGCATTATGGGAATTGTAGTCATGTTTAGTGACGTATGCCGTGACGCCTGAATGTTGTGTCTGCGGGGAAGATGGCGGACTCAGTAGCTGCTGGTCTTGCGGACGAAAACGAGACTGAAAATGAGGAGAAGGAGAAGGAGAAACGACTCTTCAGCGGCGTCAAAAAGACGGAGAAACAAGCCGCTGCGTCAGACCTTACAGAAACGCTGGGATTTTACGAGAGGAAGGCGAAATGCAAAGAGAGAAAGAGCAATGTGTCCGGTAAGAGTGACAGACAGCGGCTCTGTGCGCTGCAAGCACTGTTTTAACCCTAGTGAGCTGTCTAGACCGCACGTATGGGCATCATAACACACACGTTATGATGGTCTTGGAAAGCAGTGTTTGATATAAACGTTAGAACGCGCCAAAATACCGTGTAGTTAGGTGGGCAGCTCACTACCATGCTCGTTAAATACAGACACACACATAGAGCTCAATGCATCAATACTGTCTGAAGCATCATCAGTCACTAGAGCTTATATCAGATAGTTCAGCATCTCTCGGTTTATTTATGGTACCACAAATACCAGTGTGGCTCATGTGACACATTCAGCCTCTTGTATAATGAGACTAACTTTAGAAGCTTGAGGATCAAGACAGCTGATCAGGTGTGAAGATGTAAATAAAGACCAGAGCTACATCAACTTCGTTCCCGAAGTCATCACCATCATTATGCGTTTGCAGTGGCGTTTATTCAACAAATGAAGGGAAATTATGTCTTATAAGTGAGAAGAAAGCTGGTGTCATAGATCTGTTTACACGAAGTTGCTTAGGAACTGTAACTCTAATAACATTGTGTAATAAATGCAATAATTACAGATAATGTTTACATGCATATTTAGAGATATCATATTCATATATGAATGTGCATGAATCACTGGTATGTTAATGGGCTATTAATGCAATTTAGTAAAAAGCCGGGTTCCTGCAGGAAAAAAAATGTGGGTTACACTTTATATTAGGTGTCTTTTACTGCTATGTTCTTATGTCATACAAATAAATAAAATAAAATATATTAGGTGCAATGTACATATTGTGTTCAATTTCATGTTGTATTGCAGAACACTTTTGCTGCTGTTGAGGTAACAAACAGTAAAGGTTAGGGACAGGTTTTATGGTATAGTTAAGTTAGGAGTTGTGTCAACAGCGTAATTATAGATATAATTAAATTGGGGTTTGCAAACCCCTGGGATTCATGAGGGAACTGCAGGCTAGGGTGTTGTGAATAAATGAAAAGCTGCTAATTATAGCATGTAAATGTAAAATAAGTTATTTTTAATAGAAAAAATCTAAATCAAAACATTTTAGTTGTTTACCTGCATGTCATGTGACCATAAATCAACATCCAAGAATCATGAACATGCAAATATGTTGTTAAATTATTTAAATATTAACTTAAAATCTCAAGGGATACTTCAAGTAAATATATTCATATATATATATATATATATACACACACACACTCACACACACACACACAC